AATTGGGTACCAGATAAGTGTTGTGAGGATGTCATATAGCCTAATGTTATATATATATTTATCTGTTTTTAGTACGCAAAATAATGTCATCAAGGTGACTTCAAAAGTTTCAATTTAGTTCAGCTGGCGCGAGGCCACGAGAACGTCACTTAAGAAACACGATATTCCTTAACTCCGCTCTGAATGTCGCAAGCTAACTGAAATTCCCAATTTCATTAAAATTGTTAAGTTACAGTGATGTTACTCACCTGGTATTGAGGAACAACTGGAGCATTCTGAATAAGTCGTCTCACTTCGTCCGAGTCCCCCTGTAGGTCACTGAGGTTCTGAAAAAAAACATAAAAAGATCGAGGAAAATCAGAGAGTACTGTATAGGTCATAGACATAGTGTCGAATCTAATATGATATAATAGAACTCACTTTGCCAAAAGGATCATATCCATTGCAATCCATATAGTAAGAAATAACAACTATAAAATATGAAGAAAACCCGAAAAGCTAAGCAATAGATATAGTATAGTCCAGTAAGGTTCGTCATATGTTACTGGTCCAGTGTAACTACTACAGCACAGGAGGAAATCTAAACCAAACTACTGTAGAAGTTGGGAAAGGTTATTTCGCTGACCTCATGCAGAATGACATTTCGTCAAAACTTTTTTCTTCAAGATTGGTTTAGAAACAAACTTGGAGTAGGGTTAGGTTAGGATTACTGTTGGTGTTTGGAATCGGGTTAGTGTTAGTAAAACCGTTGCTTTGTTACGTTTTGTCACTCTCGAGGCCAGCGGAATAATCTCTTCCGTAGACGTTACTGTACACATCTAAAAACGATCAAGTTGTTGCAATGTTGATGAAAACAGGATTGAACAATGTTTTGCTGCCCACATTGTTCACAGTTGTCAGGCTCGACAATATTGTTCAATATTGTTGACAAGTGTGAACAACGTGGGCAGCAAAACACTGTTCAATCCTGTTAAACAGCGGGCTCGGCGTTTTTACGTGTGTATCTGGCATGCATAAATTATAGTAGGCTACAATCACGCATTCAGTTCACTCTGCCTGGCAAAGCGACTGAGACAAACTTTTACTAATTTCGCACTCAATTTTCTATCAAAGTCAACCAAAATTTAATGAAAAGTGTTCAAAACCTAACATTTTTTGGCGTTCCTCTCAAAGTGGCTTTGGTTTAGCTTTATTCTCTAGTTTATATAATTAACAAAAGCGCAAATGTTCATTACAGCCATCCCCTTTCTTTATCTTCCGTACAGCTTGCTTTGGATGAACACAGAAGTCTCCAATACCCTGAAAGTATGTACAAATAAAACATAATTCACCAGGGGTGCAAAATATGCTATATAGTTACCGCAAAAATATCAAACGAATCATTCTCTTCCAAAAACGACACTATATATAAACGACACTCGACGGATAACGTAAAAGAACAACATGGAAAATGTTGGTGCTTCAAACTTTTGCAGTAGATCTAGTGCAATAGGTCCGTTTAGACTTGCAATTTTTGCTGCAATTTCTTGGGCGATTTTCTTCTTCTGATGGATGTGAACGAGCAAATAAGTTAGGATTGCTCTGAGTATATATACCCTCATCTCAACATTCTTAACTCATCCACTCGTTCACATACATCAAGAGAAGCCTTAAAGCACGATTTATTCTGCAGACAAAAGACCCGTACGTGATATTTCTGGTGTAGTGTACTCAGGTGAATAAGATGCTTGTGATGTTACTCTGAGTGTATATCCACACCAGGCAGGCTTGAAAAATATGCCTGACCACGGTGGAAATCGAACCTACAACCTTTGGAATACTAGTCCAATGCTCTGCCAACTGAGCTACGCGATCAGGTTGGTTCGAGTATGTGATATTTCGGAACTGTGTCTAGTTCCTTCGATATCAATGTAATCTCTAGTAATCGTGACATTTCTGGTGTAGTGTACTCAGGTGAATAAGATGCTTGTGATGTTACTCTGAGTGTATATCCACACTGGGCAGGCTTGAAAAATATGCCTGACCACGGTGGGAATCGAACCTACGACCTTTGGAATACTAGTCCAATGCTCTGCCAACTGAGCTACCGTATGTCTTGGGCAAATAGATGGATCATCGTTCACTCGTAAAATCTCGCAGCTTGCTTATTCCCAATTGTAACAAGTCTGGAACAAGTTGTCATCATCTTGTAACAAGGTTGAGACCAAGAGACTCGCAACAAGTTGTTCCAACAAGTTGATGACAACAAGCTCGTATATAGCAATCTGTTACAAACAGCCTGTATTAGTCTTGTTGGAACAACTTGCAGCGAGTCTGTTACCACTGCGAAAATAAAAGAATGCCTTAAAGCCCTGTTGAAACGAAGTCAGTATGTTGGTCCAAGATCATGCAACATTTTTGGGCACGTTTGAGCGCTATATGCTCGGTAATGTCAACCATGGTGGTGGAAAATGTTAGATCGGGTTTAGTTTGGTTTAAAATTCTAATCCAACATTGTACAACATCGTTAAGTATTCAGCAGGGAAGGGAATTTTCTTCCTCGAAGCACAACCTGGAGACAAAAATTTCCTGCAGACCAACGGAGTATTTTTGTGCTAAACCTATATGTGCATAAGCATATAGTGTTCTACTGTAGCTGACCATGATTTTGAATTCAAGGAATAATGTCTGTCAAATATATGTTGTTGCCCCCGTAGTGGGACATGGGTGTTAAGGTTTCCTTCAAATTTTCAATAGCAAATCTTCATTCAAACGAATTTCCTGCAGCTGTTTAGCATTTCCTGCGAGCAGTGCTCGCGTGCTCGCCTATTTTGTTCCACCCCTGGTATTCGGTTAGGCCACCACAGTTGGACGATGTGGACCTCGTTTGAACTCACCGTAGCCAGACCAAAATCAGCGCCAACAATTGCCCAGGTAAAGAGAACTGTCAGAAGACAAAACATACTCGCCCTGAGAAAAAAAACTCAGTTGTCTAAATCATCATTTGAACAATGAGAAGTGTGCAAACTGTAGTGCGTGTGTTTTCTTGCAATATGAAGTGCTGCAGTTGTCTGATACACGCGTAAAAATCTCGCATCTCGTAGCAAGTCTGCCAACAAGCCGTCAACAAGTTGTGTTCGCACTGCTTGTGCCCAGTTGTCAACAAGTATGGAACAAGCTGTTAACAACTTGCAACAAGCTTGTTGATACTATCAGACTTGTTGCAAGGTTTTTCCAGCAAGCCTGATACAATCATTGTTAAAACCTTGTGTCGTCAACCTTGTAAACATTCTTGTTATATCATGACTGTATCAAACTTATTAAAACAACCTTGTACCAAGCTTGATGGCATTATCAAACTTGTTACAAGTTGTTAACAGCTTGTTCCAAACTTGTTACAACAACTAGGATCAAGCAGTGCGAGCACATATTGTCAACAGCTTGTGAACAGATTTGTAACAATTAGTTTGCAGACCTGTATACGTTTTTACATGTGTACTACACGCGATGTCTGTGTTTGCAGATTTTGCATACTCTTTTCCAGTGACTCTGTTTTCTTGCCAATTGAACACTTGTTTTGCCTTTGGTTAATTGTGTTTGGTTACTGCCTATCTACAGTATTATCCAAATGTCGGATATTAGATTTTTTGGGTACTACTGGTATCCCATTGGATAGTGCTAGCATGCAGCTAGCTGAGAATTTCAAATTCAAGTCCTGCCTCCTGTAAGAACACTGGAACAAGAAGGGATGAGCCTTACAATAAGCGAGAACAGTTTAGAACTGATCCAGCTGTCCAGTAGAAATAAAATTAGTTTGGTCAAAACTTACATAACTAAGATGCAACCATTAACCTGACAGCCAATCCAGAATAAGAAAATACAGAGAAATATACACCATGACAGCAAGATAACCGTGGCAAGCCATCTAGAAAACAATTTTATTCAATCATGACGCCACATTTTTTATGTGCAAAACATTATTATAGCAAATTACAGCTCAAACACCAGATTTAGTTAATTTCCAGTATGTTCGGCATATGATAATTAAAGCGATGCCAAATTTATTTTCATCTTACCTGTAATTATCATAACGATGGACTTTATCACCAACATCACTACTTTCATTCACAACACTTTCTGGTAATAGCTTATTAACAATACCGAGATTGCTGATTAATATTTCACTCAGAGAATAAGCTGTTTCTACCGCGGGTAACTTTGTGTCATCGTATAGCTCAGAGATGTCGCGATTCGTGTTTTGTAAAGTTGTTTTCACCTGCTTACCCTGAAAATTGTTAGAATGGGGGTTATATTAGCCTGAACACAGACCTTCGTTTTGCTCGCAGGGTTATATAAAACAGTGTTGCTGACATAGAACTGAGACACCAGTCTCTCACTTTACCACGATTTAAAACTCTGCTGTTAGACTACTTCAAAACTGCCTTATACCTAAATTATCAACCTCAAAATCCTCGGACATGGAAGTCTATCTGCTTAAAGTGTAAAACTGCTCGTAGTCTTGCTGCTCCACTCTCTTGCTGCCATTAGTGTTTCATAGTTATTGAAATATAAACACGATTAGGAAGGTTGTAAGTCTTAATTTTATGTTCTGTCTAAATTTGTATAGATTTGTGTCAATTTGTGCACGTCGAGGCTCTTTACTGTTTTGATCTATTTAAACTATTTTTCGAAGTTGTCTAGCCTTGTTTAGTATGTTTCAATAGCTATTTTATATTATATGAATTGTTATATGTTTTATAAAATTTGCAAGCAGCTAATTAAGTATGTATGTTTGTGAAATACAATACAACGAAAACTTCGAGGAATTTGTTTGCTTAGCTTCAAGTTTCAATTCGTGTGATGACTTTGAACAGGTAAATCGAAGTTTTCGTTGTGTTTTATTTGTGTTTTATTATCTATTTAAAATTAAAGGGCCCACAGTAATTGGTACCATACTTATAAAGTTTGTTCGTTCACTGCAACCAGGTATATCAATCATGTTTCGCTCGCTACTCTGGTTTAAATAAATAATTACAAAGCCCAGTCGAATTGTAATCAAGACCCAAAGACACTAGACTGAAGTGTTGAAACGTTGGGTCTTGATTACAATTCGACTGGGCTTTGTAATCATTTATTTAAACCAGAGTAGCGAGCGAAACATGATTGGTACCATACTGTTGTGGTGACCCTGCCATGAAGGGGTTGGTGCAATTCAGTATCTACTCTCAGTACTGACATGCTCATATATATACAAACCAAATTCCAGTATCAAGAGTATGCTAGCTCATCCAGTACACTCATGAGCATGCTTGTTTTGAATTGTATATCAGCATACTCATGAGCATACTTAAGATTTGGGTTTGGGGTTTGGATATGAGTATGCTCATGAGCATTAATATGTATACTGGATTTTGGTATGTACAGTATATCAGCAGCATACTGCATTTTGGTATGTACAGTATATCAGCATGCTCATGCAGGGATATTTTCATGCAATTTAGTCTACTACCGTTTTTCAGAAGATTGAGTTTCTTTGGGGGGAGGACGTTAATTAAAAAAATTTGTGTTCAGGGGCGCACATTCCAAAATATTTTGGAGTGTAAAATATTTCGGGACCAACTTTTTACGTGTTTACATTTTGGAAGTGGGAGTTACACAAGGCACCACCATGGTTGGCGCCGAGCGGAAAAATTTTGAAACTTTGAAGTCTCTAGATCGTCGGAAATGGCATTTTCAAAAGTCTAGTTTGGCCATTAGCTAGCTGTAGAGCACAGAAAGGAAGTTGATTCAGGCAGTGTATAATGGCAATTAGCAATTCTGTAACCTTAAATACTATTTTTTGGACACTTTCCAAAAAATAAATCTCACGGAAACAAAAATTTTGCGTAATGTTTGCACCGGACGATCGGGACCGACAAATGGTCCATTTGGGACAGACTTTTTGAACTATTTCTAAAAATAGATAATTAATGTGCGGCCCTGTTTGTGGTACACATTTCTAGTGTGCATGGGTATGAGTATTCCTCTACGAGATTTTGTCTCAGAAGTGACACAGTTTTCGGCAGCTTTTTGAACAAAATTGTATAGAAAAACAGGTTCTTAATGGAACATTTACATTAAAAAAAATCAAATTGTGAAAAAAATCATTGTGGAGAAAGATTGAGTTTCAAAACTCAATTGAAGAGTATTTACTACTGTATACCGGTAGTAGAAAAGTGCTTGAAAATATCCCTGACTGAGTATACTGGATTTTGGTTTGCAAATATATTCCTGCATCAGATTCCTGTGCTCGAGACAATAATTATTTTGTTGTTCTCTGTATAGCGTCAGAATAATGTTACACTAGTTTTTCATATCTATGCGCATCCTCCAATTAATTAAGACAAGCTTTAAGTCATCGCAAAAATGTTTCGTGCACTTGAGACTCGCTACCAATTCCTGTTGACCCTATATAAAGTTAATTTAGTTGATATTATCCAGTATAAATAAAGTTAGCTTAGTTTAAGGCAGTTCTCACCATCGTTGCAGCATAATTGATGTCATCCTGAATATCATCAACAGAATTACGGAACTGATCAACACCTTCGCTTGTTTTCCCATTGAAAACAAAGCCTACTATTAGAGCTCCACTAAAACATAGAAATATACCATGAGTCCATGATCAGGACCAACTTACTGCCAGACTTTGTTTATACTTACCCATTGTTACTGCAATAGCAGACCTTCAAAATACCTGTAGTGCCAGTTATCAGACATGTCTGCATGGCCAAATTATATTTTTTATCCAATCAAAGGTTTTTATGACCGACACACGACAGAAGAATTTAGGCTGGTCAATTTTAAGAAACCAAAGCGGTGATTTTTTAACAATTTTTTAAGAAACCAAAGCAATATCAGGGTGTTAGCTAGGCCATATACTGTCGGTTTGACGGACTCTTCCCAATTGAAGTAGCTAAGGGGCTTTCCCAACTGGGTCTACTGGAAGATTTTCATTTTTTCTGATGAGAAAGTGCATTGCGTTTGATTTTACATTATTATATCAGACAAAGAACTTTTATTTACTTTTTCCCATTAACTATTTTCTCAAAATGTATCGCGTTTCATTCATTTTGGGTGTGTATTCACTGAAATGAAATGTACAAAACAAAGTGTAATCGGTGTGCATCCGTGTTAATTCACCGGAAATGAAATATACAAAACGGAGTGCCATCGGGTGCATTTTTCAGTGTTCATTCACCGGAAATGAAATGTACAAAACAAAGCCACCGTTGTTTGCATTTAAGGAGAAACACGTTGGAAAAAACACTATTTATTCCTACATAAGGACTTTGATCGATCAAAAAACCTTTCCCAATTTACGTTTAATAAAGGACAAAACTTTCTTTTTCTGGCTAACACCCTGAATATACAGTAAATAATATTTCCAAATCATTTCTTGCTGCACTAAGCCAAAGATTTAATTACCAATATACTATTTAAAACACAAGCAGGAGTGCTTTGTCAGATATAAAACATCATGAGAGGCGTATTTTATGAAGCATTATTTCCCTACTACGGCTCTACTACCCGTAGTTGCGTAGTAGTCGTTTTGGTGGCATGGTAACTAGTATACACACGTGCATTTGGCAAATAAAACTACTCTACTACCCTACTACTAGTTGAGTAGTAGAGTAGTTGATGAGTAGTTGGGTAGTAGAGTAGTTGGATAGTAGAGTAGTAGAGTAGTAGAGTAGTTGGGTAGTAGAGTAGTTGGGTAGTTGGATAGTAGAGTAGTAGAGTAGAGTAGTTGGGTAGTAGAGTAGTTGGGTAGTAGAGTAGTTGGGTAGTTGGATAGTAGAGTAGTAGAGTAGTAGAGTAGTAGGGTAGTTGAGTAGTAGGGTAGTTGAGTAGTTGGGTAGTAGAGTAGAGTAGTTGGGTAGTAGAGTAGAGTAGTTGGGTAGTAGAGTAGTTGGGTAGTTGGATAGTAGAGTAGTAGAGTAGTTGGGTAGTTGGGTAGTTGGGTAGTAGAGTAGTTGGGTAGTAGAGTAGTTGGGTAGTAAAGTAGTTGGGTAGTTGGATAGTAGAGTAGTAGAGTAGTAGAGTAGTAGAGTAGAGTAGTTGGGTAGTAGAGTAGTAGGGTAGTAGAGTAGTAGGGTAGTAGAGTAGTTGGGTAGTAGAGTAGTTGGGTAGTAGTGGCTCGGACGCCCTAGCCCCCCCCCCCCCCCCCCC